AAAGTCATATTAATATTTACTGGTTTAGGCCATTTATTTAACTTTCTCTTACTTAAGACTCATGTTGTAAAGTCACAAAGTAGCCAAATTGTGCCCTTAAAGGTTAGGTTCCCACATAGATCAAAGAGAGCTTCACATGAACATATGAGAATTTTGCTTCTTGATAAAGGATAGCTGATGATCAGTGAACAATATTAAAGATTCATGAGGCCTGCACATTTACCCTTGCATTTCAATTAAAAAAAAAAATCATCCTGAAAATATAAGCTGTTAAAAAGATAAGATGAAAATATAAGCTGTTAAAATGATAAGATAAAAATATAAGATGTTAAAAACATTGGAATACAACAAGCTTCAAGAAAAATAACTCTTCTGACAATGATTCATGTGCATCTTGCAGAGGTGCACATTTTGATACATGTAAATGTATCAAAAAGAGATTTTTAGTCACTTTTATATATATGTTAAAAAATGCATGTATAATCTTGTAAATAGTGTAAGTGATGAGATTGAAATGAGTGAAGAGTGAATAGTAATTTTAATTTCATAGCATTCCCACTGTGATGTCTAATGCAGGTAATCAAGAATCCTCTGTTTGAATACTTGCAATATCTTAAAAAAAGTCTTCCAGATTTTTGTCACCATAATCCTAAAAGTCCCTGGTTATTCTTTATGCATACTACTGGAGCTTGCAGCCTGACTTCCAGGAAATGGACTGAATGGAAAGCCTAATTTTATCTAGCACCATCAGTGTTCAGTGGACTCCTTTAAGGACTCTTAGTCTCACTGGACAACTCTTGAAAACAGTTTCTTTGAGCGTTAGGGCAGCCAGCTGTTCTTTTCATAATAATAGAAATGGAAAGAATATATATTTAAAATTGTTTGAGGTTTCTGGAAAACAACATTTTCAAAATTATTTTTTAAAAAAATTCTTAATTCTAATTTGGAACAAAATGGCTTCACTTGTGGAAGAGGAAGGCCCTGCATTCTATGCGGTTTCACGGTTGGGAGTGCTTGTTTACAAGGAAAAAGTAGGAAGAGGGATAGAGAGAGGCTTGGCACATCCACTTGTCTTCCCTTCTCCTCTTTGTGTACCTTACCACTCTGCAGCCCCAGTTTGCCACAACTCTTTACCTACAGGCAGCAAGATAGATGTCACAATTATTTTAATCTATAGAAATCTACAAAAGGTTAGCAAGTCAATGTGTAGATTTTCCATTGGTTCTATATTTGCAAAACTTTTCTTTTAATAACAGGATTCCTGTGCTAACTGAAAAAAACCCACAACAACGTATGTTGGCAAGACCATCATATATAAAAGTTAAATACTTGGAAGTATTGAGGTATTTCTTGATCACCAGGAGTAAAGATGCCAGTAAAGGGGAAATGAGTACCTGCTTTACATGTGCGATCTCTAGTTGACAGCATATTTTTTAGTCCCCTGTTTTTAATACAAATTCCAAATTGGTAGAGGTTCATATCGGTTGTTTTACTAAGTAGCATGGGTTGGATCCACTGCTTAAGTAGACACGAAGCAAATAAATTATTCACATCTGCACAGGGGAATCTTCTATTTCCTTCTATTTTAAGAAATACCTTCTGCTAGCCAACAGAACAAAATTAACATAGATAAATTATATCCCATGTGAGTATGAAGGATATGCAAGAGGTAAATCTAAAATATTTCTTAAAACCCAAAATGAAACCTTTCGGTTCATCTTTTAAAAAATTTTTCTCTAATGCAATCTAGGTCAGCTTGTAAACAGAAAATACCAAATGAAAAATAAATGTTTCTGCATTTCTGATGAGAAATATTTTAATACCTTCAAAGGAACATATTCAAGATATTTGAAAAGCTTCCTTTTTTAGCAATAATTCTTTAATGAATTCAACTCCAATTCATATCGCTTTGATCCTCTGAAATTTATCTTTTTTCCAAATTAACCATTGATAATTAAAAAGGAAAAAACCCTTCTCTGCTTTGGATATATCATCTGCCTGCATCACATATAGTGAATTGACAGATTATATTATTTAAAAACCTCTTTTTAAAAGTCTCTTTGTCTTTCCTATAGTGTTGTAGTTTCTGTCTAATAATAGCAGTAGTTACTTTCTCCATCATAGCTATTTGTTGTTCGGGAAAGAAAAATTAAATTATATGAATAGGTTTCACTCATAGATGTAAATGCCACTGTGACAGGCCATCAGTAAATCTGAAAGGAAAGCAAATTCTTGATATGTTATTGTAACAATGCATTTTTCCTTGGAGGGATGAGTATTACAATGTGGAGTGTTACAATAAGTTTATGGTAGAGATTAAAGCTTTCAGAAATATGACAAAGAAAAAATATTATAAAGCAGCAGCATATCAAACATAATTTATCTCAAAACATTGAGGAAATAATCTATGTTTATAGACTTTTGCATTTCCAGTAACACGCTGCAGATTGTGCAGCTAAGTCACTTTTCAAATGTCGATCATCCGAAGAATAATAATAAGAGAAGTAAATTAGTAGATTTAGGCATTCAATTTTACTAATAGATGGGTGGTGTTTTAAAAACTATTCTGCTGATCATCAGCCATTTATTGTCATTTCTACCACATTATTTGATTTCAGGAAACTGCTAAAAAAAAAAAATCTATTGTCTGAAAAAGAAATTTCTTCTCCACAGTGTGTAGAAGGCTGATATTAACAAGTTCTTCTCAAATTGAGAAATTAGTTGCCCAAATGTCTTCATTTTAGACAAATTGGAAGTAATTTGTGTTAATGTAGTTCATTAAAAACTGATGAAACTAGACAAAACAACTCTGAGCTAGACACTGTCATGTGCTTTGGAAAAAAAAGTTTATTCTTCAAACAAAATAATAGTTTCTTGAAAGATATTCCTAAACAGATTTTTATTGTCCACCTGCTGAAAAATTTCAGTCAGGGCTGAGAGTGGTTTTGATGTTACGAAACCAGAAATATTTGTGACTTTGCTAATACACATCAATTCAATGCAATAAATGTAGTTAAGAGCTCTTTTGTCTTCATGATTATGAAATGGCAGATGAAACCACTAAGAAATGTTAATATTCCTGGAAAGCAGGTTATAAGTCGCAAAAATATGCTGCTGAAAAATATGGAATGGAAGTATCCAATCATTTAACATTTATACAATTCAATGTCCTTTTAAATTCAAGGTAAAACCTCATTAAGGCAACAGAGTACTTTTGAAAACCTAATTTCTAAACTTTATACAGTTTCTAAAAGGTTTTGGAAGCTCTTTTTCTGCTGTCTTATAGTCATCAGAAGTTCACAAACCACCACCTGAAAAACACTGATGTACATGATTAAATAATTCATGATATTTAGATTCTTCCCTGGTACAAAGAACTGCAGAACCTTCTATTAACTTCTCCCTACAGTGTCAAAAAAATGAAAGAAAATGGCTTAGCACTAACAGAAATATAGATTTTTCTCCTATCTATATGTATCCCATGTATGCTTTTTTTTATATAGGTAGCTGCAAATAGTGTTTTCCTCTATCTGGACACCTGCTTTTAATAGTTTCATTTTGTGTTGCCAAACAATTGCTTTCCTTTTTTTTTTCTCCTTTCCCTGTTGAGTATCAGTGACATGTAACAAACAAATATTTCACAGACACCATCTCAGTGACTTACTTTGCATGCAAATGTGGCATTTTGGTTCCAAAATGATAATCCATCACTATTCTGTACACTTAAAAAATTGAATAGTTGAAATGCACTGAAATTCTCTTGTTCCGTTGCCTGACAGATCTTTCATTTGGCTTTTCTGTAGCAAATTCTTTGTCAAACTGTTCTTTCCTTTATAAATCTAGCACCTCATTATATTTTTGGATGGATGTGACCTAACACTCAAAATACAATTTGTTGAAGAGGGAAATACAATGGTTTCTTCAAGCTACTCATTCCAGACATTTCTACCATTAATATATTTCATCTTACAAAAAGCCTGTGTTCAGATAAAGTGGAACTATGTTCTGTCATTATATTATTGGGATATAAATAGATTAAAAGATTTGTCTTCCTCTTAATGGGACTATGCAATAAGTCTACAGCTGAACACAACTGGAATCCAATTTTTTTTTTCCTAGTTCAATACAGTTTTCATCCGATCATCTTTCCTAGTCAGTGTGTGAGCACAACTTCTACGAAATCCTTGCTTTAGTACTTCCCTTTCAACAGAAACCTGTACAATACTGTGAGACATCATAGCTAAGAAAGTATCATAGTTCTGCATTAAGGTTGATGGAGGATGTTGAGGGTAGAGAGAAATGGAAAGACTGACAGTAGAAGAACAATAGTTGCTTTGAGGAAAGATGCCAAGACCCAGCTATCTGCATCTTAATACTATTATAACAGGGTTAAAGAGCATAATGAGTATTTTACAGAACAGAAAAAGCATGCAGAAAACCCACAGTAATAGAGACATAACAGATTTTCTTTTCCTCTCTTCTTTATACATAATGCTGCTACACCTACCCGAAATATGAATGAGCCTGTGAAGGCAAAGTCATTCTAGTCAGTTTTACATCATTATTTAAAACTTTTTAAGTGTTTTGTTTTCTTTTTATTTAGTTGAGCATTTGTCATCGGTCACTAAGCAGACTCGTTATTAAGCTGTCATTACAGAAGCACTCACAGAGACGTGTGGATTCTTAAGTACCTATATTTCAGCATTAGTACAGTCAGTAAATTAGGTACTAATGCCGGAAAGCATCACTTAGCAGACAAGCTTATATCAGTATATGCTTAAATGCTGTCTTAAATAGGAATAGATTCAAACACATACTTAATTTTTTTTTCTTTCCCTGGGCCGTAAAGAGTAGTGAGAGAATCACATGTATAACTCATTTTTACTCCTTTACCTTTCAAAATACATTTATATCTACATGCTTTGTGGGTTTTGGGCCTGGGTGGCTTTTGGTGGTTTGATTCAGTGCATTTTTTCTCAGTGATTGTTTTTGTCTTTCAGACTTGAATCTCCTACTAGATCTTTGGTGATGGAAGCACCCAGAGGAGTGCAAGTCAATGCAGCTGCAGGAGACTTAAAGGCTACCTGTAGGAAAGAACTGCACTTGCAGTCCACAGAAGGGGAGGTAAGTTCAGCTGGTAGAAATGTTCTAGAGCTCTGCCCAGCGTAACGCAGATGATGTGAGGGTAGTTTATTCAGCAGCAAGGTAAACATCCCAAGAAGTGTTCTGCATTTGCCTACGTTAAAGTGATTTTGGTTTAACTTGCTCAATTATTAATACTTATTTGCTTTTTCCAAGTATTTGATTCACTAAGTTTCATTCACACTGAAAAAAAAAAAAATTAGTTAAATGAATATAGATAAGAATTATTTTTAATCTAAGAGTCAAGGAAAAAGCTACCCAGTCCTTCAGTGTATCCATGGGACAGAGACAGCTAAGTGATGGCGGTAAAAAATTACTTTGGATGAATCTGACAAACTAAGAGAGAGAAGTTTGGATTAATTTGGATTAATACTTCATTAAACCTCATGAAGAGGTTTAACAAATTTGTTCTACATGTGGTTTATTTCCTTGAACTGTTACTATCTCTGTAAGAGAGACATGGTATATTCACTGTACTGTTTCATTAATGTCTTGTTTCAGTGATCAGCTCGTCATAAAAATATTTTGGTATAGATTCTTCATGTGTAAACCTGTGCAAACTCATGAAAAAGATTTTAAATTGGGTCACTGGTTTGGTTGGTAATCCATGTATTGCAGAAACGCATGAAAGATTACTGGAATGAGAGTCCTTTCATCTTCAATCCTTAAAATGATATATCCTTAAAAAAAGCTTGTGCAAAGGTATCAAAGGCTCTCAGATTTCTGTTAGGCACTTCGGAGAAATGGATAGATTTTCAAAGTGTTCTTAGTGGGACTTGCCAGGTTACAGCACTTTTGGTAAACTAGTTGTTTAATGTAAATATCTAATTGGGAATGGAGCTCTTTAGAAATTTTTTGCCTTTTGTGTTTGTATTTTGTATTTTCTACCAATGTTCCCAGATACTTTACAAACTATCCAAATAAGCAACAACAAACAAAAAAACAGCATTCACATCTGTGACAGCTAATTCCCTGCAATTCACACTCTTTGCATTACAATGCAGACAGGAACATTTTTGGCCAATATACTGTATCAAAGGCCTACTTTGATAACATTTTTCTATTGATGCAAGTATCTGTCATGCATAATTAAAGCACAATATTTTCCTAATTCAGAGCCTCAAATATTTATATACCATATGCCCCGCCTTATTTCTGAGTTTCTCCAAAAGCCAGCTCTTCCCACAATCTCTCATCATTGCTTAGCACCTCTCTAAATATGAAGTCTTTGCTACTGTTTCCTAAAGTTGCTGATATAGCAGTAAGGACAATCTAATCCTCTTTTGATAGTAAATATCGTCCTCCCTCACCCTTGTCCTTTCTGTGGGTATTTTTATTGCAGGGGCTACAGCTTCCTGTAACCTTTCCTGCTTCCCCTCCATAAATCCCTGCCTGCCCTAATCTAGTATGTTTCCTACATTTATTAACATAAATTAAACATAAAAGAATATGTTTCTTTGTTCTTTCCCTTCATGATATTGCCAGAGGGAAAAAGTAATACTCAAATGTAAATGAAAAAAAAAACCAAACCCAACCGAAAGACTGTTACCTTTCCTCAATCCCCCATGATCCCTGAAGCAATGGTTGTATCTATGTCTTGGTTTATTATTGTGCATCTCTGTGGTGCATTGTACAAATATTTAATCTGTGGATTCATCAGGCGTTTTTCTCTAGATCAACACTGTGAGTTTATTGCATGATGTCTAATTTTTCTTAAGTATTTACTACACTTACTGAAAATGTAGTTTTGGAAATAATGTCCTATGACCTCAGTTGGACTTTGAGAATGGCAACCCAAGAAAAGTTATGATGACTATATTATGTATTATTCAGAATTGGAATTCAATTCAGTATTAAATGCTTTGTAGGAAAAAAAAATGCCAGTGTAAAGCAGACTTTGCTGAACTTCATATTCAAAATCATTATATTCCTTTACATGGTAAGTAAGACTTTGCACATCTGTGATTTCCCACACAGATGTTAGATTGATAGTTATCAGAAAACAAGCTATTCCCAAGGAGCAGTTCTGTAAACATACACCCGACAAAGTTCAAAGTATCTAATTATCTCTTGAATACCTGCAATTCCAATAAGAGCTGTAAAGAACTGTACCTTAAATCTACAGAGAAATTCCATCCTGAGGTCTGACCAATGCCTTTATAGTCTGCTATTTTATCTCTTACACTGCAGAGGGTCAGAGGAAAATGCAGAAACACTTTGGAAGGCATACAATGAGCTTCCACAGCATCACCGTTATGTGAAGTTCCCGTGTCCACACTAGGGAATTGCTGGATTAATTACAGCCTGGTGTGAGGAACCAGGGTAAACATCTGATGGATAAAATGTCTACATAACAAAATATTGATTGATATCCTTGCTTACAGCCCACAGATACAGCACAGATTAGCAGACAGCATGGAAAAAAGTGTAAAGGTTTTATCATTACTCATTTTTAAGAAAACACATTCTAAAACAAAAGAAAGTATCTATGTCAAAAATAATCATTTTAGCCTAAAAATGCATGCTTTATCAGTCAAGTTTCTTTCACTAATAAAAGAATGTTGTCTTTGTGAATTGGATCTGTGAACCATTTTTGTGATAAGACATTTTTTGTACTAGAAAAAATACAAGCTTTTGGTATTATTCTCACACTGCTTGACTAAATTTAACTTTTTAATATTTGTAAGCTTATTCAAAAAATAATGAAAGATATATGAATTCATATTTTCCTTCTATAGGATAATTATTGCCCTATTATGCCAGAAAATAGCTATGTGGCATCTGGAATCAACCAGTTATAGCCATGTAGCAGAACATTATGAATTTACTGTAGATTAATATATGAATCATATATTTTCCTTTTATTTAAGAATAACTTCAGAATATTTTTTAAGAACGTGTTTATGAAATACTTTTCCTCTAGCCTTATTTCTTACGCAGTATAATCTCTAGCCTCCCACATCATAAACTGAAAGCCTCTGCAAGCACTCTGAATTCCACTGTTTGATACATTTTCTTTTTATTTACTGCAGTATTATAATAATCCTTTTAGCCCTATTACGCATTATAATGCGTGATCCCAGACTGAATACTGGGGACTGTAATTTAGACTCAGATTCTGCTGCCCTTTATAAAGCTCTTGAGCTGCACCCTTGTGAGTCGAGGCATCAGCAGAATCCTTTGATTCAATTATAGCTTGGCATTTAGTTGTGAACTATGTATTATTCTATAAATAAACCATAACCAATGGTTTAAAGCAGCAATCATTTACAAGGAAAATGAAACGTGAAGCTCCAGGCTCTAGCTGAATCTATTGGTTCACATATGAAGAAAAAGAACATTTCTTGCCTGGAAATTCAGCACAATGACTGCTAGTTGACTACTGCTTCGTTCACATAAACAAAATGCAAAAGTACAGATCAGTTTTGAATTCTGTAGATACTAGATTTTGCGAGGCATAAAAATATGTTCGAATTGAACCTGAAATGTATTATCATATAATGATAACAAGCTTAAAGGATTATTTGATGTTGTCCACTGGTTGGTCTAACAACTAATTTTAATGGTTTTCACAATACATCACCCTTTGAAGAAGAAAGCTGCTAACTAGCCTCAGCTCTCATGACTCTTGTGCAGCTGCTATTTATTTTTGCAAGCAGCTTCTATGTAAGCTGGGCTCTGCACTTTCATTGCATCCCATTGACTATCAAAGAACAAGTAAATAAAAGGAGAAAGAGGCACAGAGGCTTCTCATTTTTACAAACATGTTCATATTAGTCACCCTGTCTGTGACCTTTTTCCTATTTAGTTCTTTATGCCCTTGTATTTCCTTGTCAAATTACACTCCTTCATAGCATCGTTTGTAGACTATATTTGGTTGTTTCTGGCATAATGAGGCTGATGCCTTGGTAAGGCTTATAGCTGTCAAATTAAAAATGAGCAATAATCTTTAACAGACAAGTTTACTCAAAATCAGTGTAGCAGACAAGAGGCCAAGTTTATATTTACCGTTTTAGCACATCACAGTTTATGAAGCATACACCCAAGATTATTTGCAGAGACTAACAAATGCATATAGTATTAACATTTGATCTATAATCTTATCCGGTTCTCTCTCTAAGTCCAGGAGATGTATTTAACACAGAGATTAATACTTAATAAAACTGGAGTAATCTTCACTTGTAAACCCAACCAACAGTACCATTTAAAGCATTGTTTTTGGTGGGGGTTTTGTGGATGGTTTTTATGTTCTGAAACAGAAAAAAAAAAAAGGATTTTTAGAATTATTTAAATACACTGAACTGGCATTACCTCGTTCTGCGAGCTGCTTGCCATGACTATGGAGAAATGGCTGATCAAAGGCAACAACATTTTGTAGATTAGTTCAATTCAGCCAAGTTATGTTTGCCTGAGATTAAATGTCTGCAAAAAAAAATTTAAGTGTTTGATATGGATGAAGTGAGTTCAATAAAAAATAAGCAATGGCAAGCTCTAGAGCTCAAAGATCCACTGTTTATTCACCAAAAATTGTCTAACAAATGTGTGCTGCATTTTGTTTTCACAGCCCTTTTTCATGGTATTAACCAGTTGACTTGTCACTGTTGTCTGGGAGGAAAGAGATTAGTGGAAATGAAGGGAAATTTTTCTGTATTTTTTTAATTATTGGTTTCAGGAACTCTATTAAGATGTTTTGACAGATATTTAAAATTCTTAAAATGCCATGTTATTTTTAAACAAAAACTTTCATTTTCAACTTAAAGCAGTTATTAATGTGTAAGTTAATTTATAGTAAAAAACACTTTTATGTAGAAGTCTACAACCAAAATACAGTGTTCCCAAACTGCAAAAGCAAAGTGTTTTAACTGACATCACCCATCTTTGAACTGTTTGTTCATGGGCAAATTTTGAAGACCAACACCACAAGCCATTTTATTAGAAAGAGAAAAAGAAGTTATGATGAATAATTTATTATATAAATAAAA